GAGGAAGGAAAGTCCAAATGTGCGTGCTTTGATTCTTAAGGAAAAAAAGGTTAAAAGTGACAGAAAAATGCTCTGCAGAAGCTAACTTTTCTAACAGTGCTGTAACTCCACTGCTGCCTATTGCAGTGGCCAGACAGACCCACGGCCAGCAGAGTAACAACCAGCAGTTAGTATATGGGCCATTTGCTTTTTAAAAAGCCATGATTTCACTCAGTGTTCAAACATATGGAATAACCCCGATCCCCGATTTGGCAGCCCAGCCCATTTCCAAGCTTTGTTAAAGGTGGCCCATCAGCTTCCCAGAGCCATAAGTAGGATGGATGATCAGTGTTGCCCGATTATATTGAGGAAAGCACTCCACAGTCAATAGATTCATTTAATTTCTTGCCCACTACCATTTTTGAATGCTTTTTAAAAAGTGAAGAATTTTCCATTTTCTGCTTGGCAAGGAAAAACCACCACAATGGGCCGGGGAGCCAAGCTATTTTCTGCCAGATGAATGTTACAACCATTCCCTTTCCAAGTTATGTATGTGCACCCAGTTCCCACTCAGAAGGACAAATTGAGGTCTTGCTGAAGCTGAATTCCTTTCGGAATTTTATGCTAAAATTAGTGAAGGGTACCACAAGCAAGATGATGTTAGGAAGGTGAGAACATAAGTACAGGAAAATACCTTTTTGTCATTCCATACTTCAAGCCCTGTTGTTAAGGCTGCAGAAGCTCCTGTTTAAATGTACAGCCTCCTTGTTATCTTTTCCATAGCCTGAGGTCAACCACGTTCTTTCCATCTAGAATTCAAGTCCCGACCCAAACTAGCACCAGATACAGAAAAACACAAGAAAATCAAGCACTTACTGAACGGCTCTGATATTGCACCTTGGAGTAAAGATCAGATCAAGATATTCTGTTGATCCACAAGAAAATCAAGCACTTACTGAATGGCTCTGATACTGCACCTTGGAAGTAAAGATCAGATCAAGATATTCTGTTGATTACTTTTGAGAACAGCTTCATTTCAGCCTCAAAAGACAAGTGGTGTACACCTACTGCACCGCTGGACTCACTGCAGCAGTCGGCAACAGCTCTACTCATATTCAAACTACTAATTGTTTAGGGAAAAAATGGGAAGCACTGTTAATTATCTCCTCTAGCTGCATTTTCTGCCAGGAGTGCTCTTAGTGTGGTTCAGGCAGATGAAGTTAGAAAGGATGTGGACTGGAGCATCTCTCGTATGAGGAAAGGCTGAGAGAGCTGGCACTCTTTAGCCTGAGGAAGAGACAGCTCAGATGGATCTTTATTATATAAATATAAAAATACCTGAAGACAGGGTGCAAAGGGGATGGAGCTCTCCTCATTGGTGCCCAGTGATGGGACCAGAGGTGATGGGCACAGACAGACACAGGAGGCTCCATCTGAACATCAGGAAAACACTTCCAGTGTGAGGGTGACTGAGCACTGACCGGCACAGGTTGCCCAGGAAGGTGGTGAATTTTCCATCCTTGGAGCTATTCAGAAGCCACCTGGACACAGTCCTGGGCCAGACTGCCCAGCTTGAGCCAAGCATTGGACCAGAAGAGCTCTGGAGTCCCTTCCAGCCTCAACCATTCTGTGAATGATAATGCTAACAACAGCCCCAGTCCAAAAAGGGAGCTGGAGCCGATGCAGGACCTGAACACGTAGTACCTGACACACGTGTGCTCCAGTCACCTCCTTGCTCAAGAACAGAAGATCTGGAAAGCTGAAGATGTCTGGCAAATACAAAATTACCTCATAGGTTGTAACTTATTAGTTTATTATACCACATAAATCAAGAGTGAACATTATCTCCATAAGAACTAGATGAAAATCATCAATAAGTAATAATTAGCTGTTTCCTGGGCCTGCCATCTGGTAAGCTTTTTTCCCAGCCAGCAACTCCTGCTCCTCGCACTTCTCCAAAGCAGCTAGAAGATGAAGACAGGCTAGTCTTTCTTCTTTGTCAGTCCCTTTGGGAAATCTAGGTACCCAGGACGCTAGCAACCACTTACATCATCCTCATCATCACACCTCAGCACCCCAACTCTACAGGGCTTCACCGGCCCCTGCTGATTCCAAGTCTCCAGTTTCTTAAAAAGCAGTAAGGAGGCAGAAGTTATTGCCTTCCATCCTACTCTCAGGAACACGTGGGCTCCAAGATAACCAAATTAATCATTCTAACCTGTAAGTGGCTGTCATTAGTATTATTATTTTCATCATATAAATTATCTTCCAGATTAGGTCATATGCATTTTGAGATCCCGTGGTTTCCTAGCAACTCCTCTCACCGCTCCACACGCAGACACAGTGTGCCGTTTGCTTTTCCTTTTTTAGACTCCCTGCACGGGGGTTATATTCAGTAACAGTGATCTCAGGCCTGGCCCTAATGACCTTTAGTCTGCCACAGTTGTGGGGCAAGATGCAGGAGATAGCAACCCCCCATCCCTCAGAAGGCATTTGCAGCAGAGGGCCAGAAAAACATGGTCCTCCACTTGTCGGTCTCCTGTCCCTCAGACCAGAAGCCCTGGGCTCTGCAGGATGAGCAGACGGATGAGCTTTCCAGATAATGCACATTTACACACAGACTTTCCCATAAAAATCACAAACTATGGTTTTAGAGTTGTTTCTAGTTCAATGCGGGGAAACTGTCTGGAGGGCCAAACCAATTTTAGCCACCAATTTTAATTAACTTCTCTAGCTGAGTTAATCAAGATATCTCCCAAATTTAATCACGATGAGGGCACGAAGTTAGGCGATGTGACTATCCTAGACAATCTTTTGTGTAAAGAGAATAGGATTAACTTCTGTCCTGCCCCACTGACATTTTTTAAAATAACAATGTCTTGTTCTAAACTACAAAAGCTATGGGGCTTAATTATTTAGCCAGCTAGTGGCCCTGTTTCAAAGGAAAAAGAGAACAGACCTCAGAAATGAGCCATCTCCAGTCCACGTGGAGTACAGCTATTAATATTTGATCCCCTGCTAGCCTGGAGGCAAAGGGAATAATGTTCATTACAAGAGCCTAAGACTGAATCCACTTTAGCGATTGACTGAACCAAAGATAAGGATGAAACCTCTCCTGCTGCAGGTGAGGAGATTAACTTGGGGGACTCTGGTAATTCCTTCAGCAAAGGAGCTGGTGTTTTGCCAGGCACAGAAAGAAGTGGAAGTCTCTTCTGTGGTTGCCATCAGAGCCTCACTGTAAAAGCCATCCCTGGATCCAATATCCAGTCCTGGTTACGGAAGTAAAGAACAGAGACACAAGGGCATGTACTTGCAAATAGAAGAAATAATTTAATGGAAATGTAATTAACAGGAACAGAGAGCTGATGCCACGTAACTGGGAGATGGAATAGCCTTCAATCCCTCACCCCCTGCTCTCTCCCCCGAACTCACATACAATAGCAGAAGTCTCTGCAGGGTTTGTCCCAGGTTACAGCCTCAGGGCAGTACAATTTGGGGCCCAGAGCAACACAGCAGTTTGGAAAAGTCATCAGAAAAACTGAAGATCCAGTTTCATTTTCCCGTTGTACCCTCAGTCTGCACCCTGAAATACAACTCGTGCCCCTCCACTGGGTGCCCAGAGGGTCCTGTGAGACCCCTCGACCCCTGAACAGAGCAAGTTCCATCAGAGATTTCTCTCTCATATACTGACCTGGAGCCTTAATGCCAAAATGGGACAATGAAATCTAGGTGAAGTATAGAAAAGAAAGTCAATTTTGGATGTCCTCATTTTGGGGTCTCAAAAGAAGACCTATTTTTCAGACTGGTCATAGTCTGTGTCACCCAATTAAAGCTGCAAACTAGTATCCTGTACGTGTCTCTGCTGGAAAAATTGTCTGCTTTAGCAGAAGCTCTTAAGGTTAAACAAATTTTTCAAATATTGAGGGCCAGAGTCACTCATGCATGTACAGTAATAGAGCTCCTGGAATTATTACACTCCCTGGACCCACTGCAGATATTTGCCTCTTGGCTTTACTCTTCCTACAGTGTATCCCCATTAGCACCTCTAATTAGAAAGGAAAATCACGAGTTCCATGTTATTTAAAAGATTATGCAGCATTTTAAACTACAGCACAATGTAATTATTTTTTAATAGCCACAGCTATTTCATGTATTTACTTTTAATGGTGTTTGAGTCATAAATGAACAGTAGAAAAGAAAAAGGCAAATCAGCACTTGACAGAGAAGTAGGCAACAATTGAAAGGAAAAACTGCAAAGCTACAAACTGTGTGATCAAAAAGGAAGGGAGCCCGATTAGTTTCTCTTGTTTGCTTTATTCTGAACTGCTTTTTTATCACCCAACTTGTCCCCCTGGAGGTCAAGAAGGTCAGGGATAAATAGAAGCGAGAAGAGTTGAACGTCTGTGTTGTTGCAGTGACTTCTGTCAGTTTGTCAAGAGATGCGTGTTTTAGACAGAGCCTTGTATTATCAGATACCAAAGTTAATAAACTGCCACTGCAGAGGACAGTCTGCTGTCACCGAGGGCCGGGTGTCTCTGCGTGAGCTGTGGTACAAGCAGAGCAAGTGACAACACAGATGTCGGAGCTGAAAGAGAGAGGATTAAACAACCAGGCATGTTAGGGAGAAAGTGAGCCTGGTCTGTGCAGAGCATCTGCACAGCTGGATCCCGCACAGCTGGATCGCTCACAGCCATCCCATGCAGGAGAACATCCAAGACAAACCTCTCTACTTGCTGTGCATCTCGCCCCAAAAATATCACTACTAACTTTTGAAAGGATAAATAAAATCTGCAGTACCCCACTTCTGATCTCTGGAAAGGGCCAATAACTCTCTGTAGCAGATTATGTGCTCAGACACACATACAGCTACTGGGGCCAGACCTGTGCTGGCTGCTCTCACCAGCATCTTCTCCCCTGCACGCTCCTCTATGTCACCCTGGGCTCTCAGGCAAAGTGAGGACCTGAAACTTGCTTCCTCCTTGGCATGCTGAGCTCTAACTGCAGCTTCTTTGCCTTCACAGAAAGCCAGGCTGGCGAGGATCCGAGTGGCCAAAACAGGCAGCTCCAACGCTTATCTTCACAGCAAGCGCAACGGCCTCCTGAACGAAGCCCTGGAGCTGACGGTGAGTGCAGAGACACCATCTCCTCCCACAGAGCCTGAGAAGCTTCCCTGGTCCCACTCCCCTCCCTGGGCTCCCTCCCCTCCTCTCCCCATTGCCACCTAATTGCTCATTATCCAGCATCACACGGGAAATGACATTATGCTATAATTACACTCATGTACTGTACGTGCCGTGGGGAGGGATAGTGGGAATCCAGCCACAAGATGGGGTGGGAGGAAAAAGGCTCTTTGGGCACCTCCTCAAGCTAGGAAAGGAATCACAGAATTGTCAGAGTTGGAAGGGACCTCTAGAGATCATTTGGTCCAACTCCCCTGCTAAGGCAGGAATGCCCAGAGCACACCACTCAGGAGGATCCAGGTGGGTCTTGAAGATCTCCAGAGAAGGGGACTCCACAACCTCCCTGGGCAGCCTGTTCCAGGGCTCCATCACCCTCACCATAAAAAAGTTTTTTCTCAAAAACTTTGAAGGATCTGGCCTTCCAGCAATGACCGGGTTCAACATTCCCTTAATGTTGATCAGCTGCACTGATTTACACCACCAGGGTCTGCCTGTACTATGAACATCCACTCTTTCAACACACAGTTACTTATTTTCAAGAGTCTCCCACTAATAGGGGATAGCTGGAGGTATTTAAAAGCTGGGCAGATGTGGTGCTGAGGGACATGGGTTCGTGGTGGACTTGGCAGTGCTGGGTTAATAGTTGGACTTGATGATGTTAAAGGTCTTTTCCAACCAAAACAATCCTATGATTCTATCTATTCATGCCCAGCAGGACAGGAGAATATTCCCTGGCTCCTGTTTCAGTTTAGTGGGGGGTTTATTTTTAAGAGAAAGGCCTCTGGAGGTTAACAGTAGCTATTCATGAGAAGAAAAGTTTTAAGTGCGTCAGGTTGCTCAGTAGAATCAGCGAAAACGTCAGGAGGTTATTACATTAAGCCTGATCAACACCAGAGCAGGTATTAGCACATTTCATGGATTTCATTTCAAATAAGTCAGCCTTTTGTGCACGTGGGGAGCAAAGAGCGAGATGAAGAACGCTTAATTGCACCACCCGAGCCACCAAGCGCTTGCTCATGCATCCTCACGTGGGGCATAATCCCTCAAATGACTACTATTTTCCCTGCCACACACCCTTGAATTTGTAAAAATCAAAGCTGACAAAGTGAAAGCTGCTCCCCAGGACCCGAGCCCACTCCTGCCCAGGGTCAGTGGGCACAGCAGAGGGGATTGTACAGCACCTGATTTCACACGTAGGAGGCTGCTCAGCACAGTCCGAGACAGAGGAACCTGCCCCTTTACAACTCCAATAGTTTTTAAACTGCCTAAAAAAGCACTTTGCACGAAGCACAGATTTGGGAGGTGGGATGCCCAGATCAGTTTCTGTTCTCCCCTCCAAAACAAGTTTGATCCATCTGACTACACATCGAATGTTGTCTCCTGCTCTGCCAGTGCCAGCGACACTCAGAAAATCTGTTTCTTGAACCATATGTTGCTGTTGAGCAGTTCAAGAAAAGTTTCTTTATCAAGAATATGAGACAGGGAAGACTGGTCACACCTGGTCCAGAGCCCTCTCCTCACAAAGGAACAGCTTGGGACTGGGGCAGCAGCTCAGCTGAGATTTTGATATTTCATCACCCAGGAACAAGCAGAAATCTGAATACAAATTTAAAACTTCTTTCTGAGCTTTATATTTCTAGTCCTTAATAATGCCAGAAGAGCTTAGCAGGGACACTCAGTTTGCACTTGATCTTCCAGCCTGTCATCTCAACAAGAATCTCCTCACTTCTCTTGTCAACCCAAACTCCCTGCCAAGACCACTTAGGGAAGAGCAGCTGACGCACCAGTGCTTAAGTCCAAAATGCAAGAGGTTGAGGGAAATATTTGGCTGAATGCGTTTATTTCGTGGCATTTGCCCAAAAATGAGTGGAAGAAGGGTCATTTTGTTGGCTACAAAACCACTGTAGTCACAGGAAGGAAAACAAAAACATTTCTAAAGAGGTTCTAGAGGATTTTTTTACCCATTAATAATTAATTTTAGATCTATAGTAGCACCTAGAGCAGGCATTCCCAAGCTTTTCTGGGTACAACTTGCATTCTGGTGGGCTTTATAGCTCTAAATGCTAACATGACCCTCCCTTCCCCACCACCCCAGCCCACAAGATCCAGAAATCCTATTTTGAAAACTATAGCTCTAAATGCAAACATGACCCTCCTCTCCCTGCCACCCCCACCCCACAAGATCCAGAAATCCTATTTTGAAAAGCACTGAACACTGTACATTTGGATTAATACTTGGAAATAACCCCACCTTAAGGAACTTCCTGTTGAAATAACCAAAGGCACAGGGCAGTAAGAATCACCATCCACCTGTGACATACGGGAGCATAATTTTCTAAACCAAGGAACTTGCCAAAGCCATGCCCGGCATCCGCACGCCCACCAGGAAATGATCTTTGCCCACCCGGGATCTCGCCTCATACCTGGCTCAGGAGCCAAGACATGTCTCACCACCCACAGCGGCATTAATTAATTACAGAACCACAGAGCATCCTTTGCTGTAGAGGTACACATGACCCTTCTAACTCCACGAGGCAAGATCTTATGTCCTTTCATTTTATGGCAGGAGAACAAACGATTCTTGAGAGTAAAAAACATGTGAATGACAGCAGGGTCTCACCAGCCAGATTTTTTTAAGCTGTATAAATAGGACGGAATATGACTTCTGTAGCTGCTATATTAGGGGCCAAAATATTACCTCCATACTGTGCATATCTGTCGGTCAAATTAGCATCAAACTGCTTCCCTGCTCAGGTACACATCCCAGTTTGATACCTTGCCCAGGACTCACGCTAACTTTAATGGACTTCACACTGGCCAGATTGCCACGGGGCTGGTTTGATACCCAGCAGTCATTCCAACTGCAATTACTCCACAGCCCTCACTAGATGTTATCACTTTCATCATTAGCAATCACGAAGCACCGTGATCAATGTATAATTGTTTTACAAGTGCCCAGCAGATTGCCCCCGAGCTCTGACACCTCCAGGGTTTATCCAAGGAAAACAACTGCCCCAAAAGCACCCCGGCTGCTGCTCCGCAGTCAAACTAATAAACTGGGAAATAAGGACTCTTCAAGATTCCGGAACATGTGCCAGAATGTCCCTTCATTAGCACCAGAATGAATATACTGACACCATCTTTCAAGGGAACAGCACGTCTTCAGCCTGTAGCCTTCTATCAAAGTAAAGAAAAAGCGAGGAAGAGGATTTATCCAAGGCAGCAGCAGGACGGAGTTCTGCTCCTCGCAGGAATACAGACTCTGCCGTCAGAAACATGTGGATTTGTGGCATTTTGCATTTGCCATCTAGACACAAAGTACTCAGACCGTTTCCTTCTCATTTAGAGAGATTTTTAGTGGGCTTTATGTCAGAAGTGCTCAAGGGATGGGGAGCTTCTTCCCATGGCAGCAGCCTACATATCCTCTTAGTGTTAATCTCCTTGTACAGCCAGCTGAAACTCCCTTTTAGCTAAAATGCTCAGAGGTGTAGATCCCAGGAAGAGTAAATTGTGGGGTCTTGGGCCTTTTCACAAGCAGAATCTGCTTAGCCATAGATAAGCATTACAGCCATTCTCATGGGAAGAGACAGTCTAACCACAAATCAGTTCATCTCAGTTCACCAGGGTCCAGTTCTACCTGCTGAACCACAAAGTAGAGGAGGTAGAAGTGGAAGTATTTTGGATTTCAGAACTGACACTACAGAGTGTTTCAGCCTCCCTCCAAGCAACCAGCAGCTCAGTGAAAGTCTTCCAAGAACAAGCTGAATGGTAGCTGGCATCAGATCCTTGCAAAACTGGCATCCCAGCTCAAAAAGCAAACCATCTCCTCTCCTCCCCCCTGCCTGCTTTTTCATTACAGCCAGACTCTCCTAATGAAGACACAGCCTTTGTTGTACCTACATTACTGCAGGCACACTGATGCAATCTCTATAGGTATACCTTCCTCAACAGTACTATCAAAATACCAAGCGTTTGCGTGATGCCAGCACTCCCACCCTCCTCGGGCAGCAGTTCCTGCAGTTCTCATCCTTAATTTGCATGCAAGGATGTTCTCAGTGGTTGCATACGCTTTGTTTCTGAAAACACTGAGCTGACTGATGAAGAAGCAAAAGAAGATAAGGTGTGAGCCACAGTCACTGATGCTACTCTCTGCTCTGGTCACTGGATGCGTTTCCATCAGCAGCAAGCCCGGCCTCAGGACAGAAGGCAGAGAGAAAGAGGAAGCTGTGCTGCCAAAATCTAACAATTCCCAGAGCAAAAGAAGCTCTGTCTTTGCTTTCAGATTCCATTTAGATCTCCTCTCAAGCAAACCCTCGTAAAAAGATATTGTTTGCAATATGTGCTCTTTCTCTCTCCTTTCCCAGTGTTTTAGTGCAGCATCAAACGCGCCTTAGGGCTCGCAAGGACCTCCAAGGGAAATATTCCCACTCAGACTTCAGCAGTCAGTCATCTCAGCAGGGTACAAACAGGACCTGCTCCATGTGCCCGCTCACCAGGAGGATTGTTAATAAGAAAAATGGAACTGACTTTTTTTTTTAAGGCCACTTCTAAAAATACTTCTGGGAATGCTCCGTCTTCCAGAACAACAGCAACAAAAGCATCCATAACCTGCCTAAGCCACAGTCCCATTGGAATCTATTAATTCTGGGTACAGTAAGTCAGCTCCCTCAGTCTACCCATTCAGCTATGGTGTGACAGAGCTACTCCTTCGCTTTAGGATCACAAGACCATCCTGGAAAAGGCATCCAGAGCACACATTTGCCATGAATCACCAGGACACACTGCTGTATTCATGAGCAATCCTTTAAGCACAGGAGAATTTCACCCCCTTGAGAGAAACAATTCTGCCAAGATGTTCTGCTGTGTCTCCCATCCCACCCATTTCCTCTTGAACAGTTAGATATTGTTGTTTCATATCTAAGTAGAGATTCAAGCCATGCACATCGATTTTTGACTTTAAGATTTGGGCATTACAGCAGACACCAGGCAGCCCTTGCTCGTGGAGCCCAGGGAAACATTTTACAACACCTAATTGCTGTTTGAACGCATGTGATTGTCTTTGAAGATACTACTCATCAAAAACACACACACAGATTAATGTGTCATGAAATCACAGTGAATTCCAAGATCAGGATCTGAAGAAGTAGTAGTAAGAGAGCATCCTTAACAACCCAGATCTTAAGTTTGCCACCACAGAACAGAGAAAATGAGAAAAATAATCCTGGCTCTCAAATAGCACAGAAACTCTAAATAACAACAATTGCTTCTTTTCCTTCCGTTTCCAAGGCGTATCTGAACATCAGATCACAGGATAAGTGACACATCAATTCACTGCTACAACACAGAAATAAAAAAACCACAGTATCCTGGATTTCTACCCCCCCAGTTGACTAAATTGGCCTATTGCATCAATGAACGCTTCATGCCAAGCCTTCTGGAGGAGCTAAATGTTACAAACATGCTGAACTCAAGCTCCAAACATCTTATCCATTTCTACTGCAAGCAGATCAAACCCCTCAGCTTAACAAAAAGCACAGAGATTGATCTGAGATCTGTAGCTCATCCCAACCACTAATGACACTGCAGTCTAAGCCTTCTCATCCCCAAATCACGACACGCACACGTACCTGCTGGAGAAGCCAAGAGCCCAGCAGAAGTGCCCCAACTTCTTTCCAAGGCAGAATCCTTAAGCAGCCACACCACAAACAACTCACCCCCTCACCCTTGCTTTTGTCTCTTAACGAGGGACCACTCCCTTTAACAGTTTTTCACCCTAAATACTCTCAGCTGTGCCCAATCCCTTCCCAGCTGGCACAGGCTGCCTGCCTGACTCTGAGCACACCCTACTCTCTGAATTAGCTCAGCAATTTGTTAGCCACATCTCAGCAGTTTGGATACACGGGGGAAATTGGGGAAAGCTGGTCCCTAATTGTACAGATGTTGCTGTAGTCAAGTACCTGGATTCTCAGATCTTTGGAACAGGCTTGGTTTGTTCTGGTTTTGTGTTAAGTGATACACAGAGGGTTTCTGGCCAGTTTGCAGGGCACCTGGCCACTGGGTTACTGGACCATAAATCCCAGTAAGCCATCCTACAGAGTGAAAGCCACAATCCGTAAGGAACTAATGAAGATGGGACCTTCCTTCTCCCAGGGAGCTGCTGCCCCAGTGACATTGTTATCTTTATCCCTGTGAAAGCTAATGCTGGTAGGTCTGTTTGTTTTCATGGTTTTACACCTGGTTTGGGTTTTGGTTCTTTCCCCTCCCCTTTTTCTGGTTATTCAGGGATCCACTGAGGATGAACAGCATCTGACTAAAGGCACCTCCTTAATTGAAAGCCAACATCACCACCTGCTGCACTGCCTGGAAAAAACAACCGTAAGTAGCAACACAATCCTTTTCCACCCCTTTTCCATCCTCCCAGGGCTTTGCCTGGCCCAAGCTGCCCGTGGAAAGTGTGCTCTGAACTGGGTCCCAGTTAGACCTGGAAACTCTGCCAGAGGGGGCTGGCACTCCAGCTCCCAAGAATATTCTGCAATGGGATAAATGCACTTTATTTTACAGTCTTCGTTAAAAAAAAAAATGTAATTACTGTGCAAAGGAATAAAGATGTGATTATCTGCTACTCCACAGTCATCTCCACCAGCACAAAGTCAGGAGCAGGTTGCTCAGTTGAAGTTCACCTGAATGCAGAGAACTTTTCAGCATGGGTTTAGTGAACATTGTTTTCTTCAGTGCTTCTGAAAGAGACCTAAACTGTATTTGTCTTACGCTGTCAGTCACACATCATATGTACTTGTCACTTGTGCTAATTAGTAAGAAAGGATAGTTCTGCTAACTCCACTGCCAACAGGCTAGAAAAATAAAATTTTTAGCTCTTTATATGCCAGAGAGCAGCTGAGCTCTCTTAATGGGTTTAAAGGCCAGACGTTTCTTTTCTCGCTTCAGTTCTGGTTACAAGAACAGAAATTTATCTCAAAGCCACTCAGGCAGAGTCTGTAGCAATGACTTTTCTGTTCGTCTCATGCAAGGTGTTGGGGTGAGAATTTTATTTTTCATTCTGAAGTGATTCTGTATGCAGAACGCTCTTGGAACATTTCAGATATTTATTTGATACATATGTTTTACTTCCAGGTATATAAAAAATGTTCTGCAGTAAAGGAACACATTATCTATACCATGATTCATTCTAGAAAGAATGAAGAGAGGTTAACACTTGAAATATTCATGCCTTTCTCTATCCGCATCCATCATCAAATATACTTTTGATTTCTGACTTGCAAGAGCTTTCTTTTAGATAAATCACCTTCACTTCCATAGTTTGGCTTATGCTGGAATAACACCATTTAGGCTTCAGCGATACACTGGAAGAAGATGACTGTGAATTCCAGGGACCTGCTGAGTGCAGCCGGTTCCTCCCAATGAGCTCTAAAGGTCACCGCTCCAGGGACAGTGAACTGATTCTTCCTGTATCAATGACTATGGAGTTCATTTTATAAGACTCATCTGGCCTTTATTTTTAGCAGTTTTTAGATGTTACATAACAAGCAGATATTTCACAACCTGACTCTTCAGTTTATTGCTTTATGCTTAAAAGCTTCACTACTACCACCCGTATTTCTCAAAAAAAACCCTTTCATTTGGAAACATTTAACAAATTGGCTGAAGCAAACAGAAGCTGACAGCCCTCCCTCCAGGGTCTGCCCTCGTAAGGCCCTGACTTTGTAAAGGCTTCTGGAGCTTCTGACCCCTGTGCGGGGTGGGGGGACATCCCTGGGGGCTGCCTGAGTTGCCCCCTGACTAACGAGCGGATCCAGTGACCAGCCAAATTACATCTTGCATTGAGGCTATCAGCCCCCTGGCAAAACAGGACTGCTCCAGCACACAGCACTACAACACAGGGAGTCTCAGGGGCTGAAAACATTTTTTTCCAGCAAAGAATGGCAATAACAGTGATACTTTGAACTTTTATTAAAACCTAGAGAGAGAATCTGCACAATATTTGTGTCCACCCCCATGTTTTTCAGGCAGTCATTACCATGATGTTGCAGCAAATCACGCAGCAAGTTTGAATTCTGGTCTGAAATTATCAATCAAAATAGTTCAATCAGCTTGTGTGGAAATTCTTTAGTTCACAGAATCCACTGAAATACTACACAACAGTTCTCCTCCCCCAAAAAATTAAATTGTAGTAAAATAATTTTGTAAATACTGAAGAGTCATTTTGTGACCAAGTTGCAGGAATGGAATGAGGAATGTACCATGGTTACAAACTTGTTTCAATGGGCAACTCACCTTTCCTTAAACTAGCCAGGAAGATTCTAAAAGTACATTATTTATTGTCCTGCTATCTGTGGTGTCGCTAGCACACAGCCTCACGATCCGCTGGCTGCCAATGGCTCACAAATCTGGTGTGTCAGATGACAAAGTGACCATAAAGTACTTCTGGCTGCCATAACACACGTTGCTTTGTCATATTAACACGACAAATGGAGTTTGTTCAAACAAAAGGAGTGGGTTTTGACTCCTTCCAACTCCCAGATTGAGGATGGACATTCACGCAATGTTTTCTCCAAAAGCTGAGCGTATCGAATCTGATCCTTCAACCCAAACCTTTCCGTTGTGTTTCCAGACCATGGTCAAACCCCACATCCATTGGTGGCCCAATGGCAACGCGATTCCAATCCCTTCCTTGTGAATCAGCAGCTGGGATTTTGCTTTCCTTTGCCTCTCAAAAGTTCAAACTAATGAAGTTGTCACCGGTTTTGTTCTGTTTCCAAGAACATAACACTGAAAAGCTCAAGCGAGAGAAGGAAGGAACAAAGGGGGTCTGATCCAGGCAAGGTTTGGTGCAGAGAAGGTCTGGTTGCCCATTCAAACTTGAGCCTGGAATGCTGAGGCGATAGAGGCAATGCTGGGACTAAACTGCTGAGTGCTGGAATGGACAATCAATTGTGTTTTTATCTTTTGTTGGCATGTTGTCCCATAGGGATTGTCCTATCTTGTGGATGATCCCCTGTTATCTGTACGAACTTCCACCATCAAGGTATTTCCTTTTAAATTCAATCTGTTTTCTCTATGGTCTCTGTGATGTGTCTGGAGAGTGTTTGGTTCCTTTCTCGTTCCTGGTCTTGTCTTTGGGAGTTTGTGCACGTGGCTCCTTTTGGCAATCCGTGCTCTTGTCTCCTGTCAGAGCTGTCAATTGTTCCGATGAAAACCGATGGCTGCCTTCTCCATGGCTGTTTTTGCTTCCCATCCTTCCTGGTGCTGACAGGGACTGGATAAAGTATGTTTACTAGAACCACTTGGCTGTTGATATGTGCACATTAGAGTTCTTTCTTTCAGGATTTCTTGTTCCTTAGCACAAAAACTCTTTAGAGATTCAGCTTTCTGAATTTCCTTCCCCTGTATGCTTCCTCCTTACCTGCCATGTTTATTTCCCCACAGCTAATAGCCCCCAGTGAGCTGTAGGTCTGCTTTGTGCCCAACAGCCAAAACAAGCAACATCCTGCAATTAAGCTGTATATCAAGATGGTCACCCAAATCCAATACAACCCTGTCCACAGGGACAATGAAAAAGGAGCCTAAATCTCCTCTGGGTTTCATAACCATGTGGCATTGCAGACTTTATGAAGCCACTTCTGGAAAAACAGATACAAAACCAAAAGGAAATTGAAATATATGCACCATCTCAGCGACCCAAGCAAGACAGCACCAAGGGACTATTGTGCTTTGGTCGCTGCAGCAGCTTCCCTTCTTCCCCTCCTGCTGCAGCAGAGCAAAACCTTCTCTTGGCTGCAGCAAGTGGAAGGGCAGCATCATCTCTTTGAAAGATCTGCCCAGTGCAAGTATTTTCAGGCACAGAGGCAGAGAACATCCTACACAGACAGGGCTGACCCGTCCCACCAGCCTAGCCAGAGGCACCCTTGAAAACAAACCGCTGTTGGGCCAAAGCTGGTGGTGTCACCAGAGGGTAACGACACTATCCTTGTCCCCACCAGAACCACGAGTTCATAGACGAGCAGCTGTTTGAGCAGAACTGCATGGAGAGCTCGATGCAAAACTATCCTTCTTCTCGGAGCCCTTCCTTGTCCAGCCACCACGGCCTGACCACCTCCTGCTGTTCTCGCCGTAACAAGAAGACCACTCACCTTCCCAACTCCAGCGTGCCGGCCACTCGGCTCCGGAGCATGCAGGAGCTCAGCACCATCCACATCCAGTGCAGCGAGCAGCCCTCGCTCACTACAAGGTACAGTAAGTAGGTTCCTGCTGCTAAATCCTGCATGCAAGTCCCTGAAATGCATTATCCAACGGATCGTTCTCACAGGGCTCTTCTCCAGCCAAGGAGAGGGGACCAGCGCTGGGGGCATCTGTGTTGTCACAACCCAAGGGAAGCAGCTCCTGGCCTTGCTGGGAACAACCAGGTCAAAGCTGGACTCTTCTGGCCAGACAGGACACTGGAGAATGAATTCCTGGTGGAACCTGCCTGTGGAACACTAAGCACACGGGCAGGAGCCAACAGTCCCCAGCCGTGAGCCACTCACCAAAGCTGGCCCAGGACCACAGCCCACCTCCCAGACAGCCCAGTACTTCCAAGCCTTTACTGGGAGCGGGCAAAGAGCATGGCAAATCAGTGTCTGGCTGTGAGAGAGCTGTACACACCAACATGGTCCACCAGGGACACCCCCTTTGCTGTTTTCCATCGTCCAAAAGTCTAAACCACAGCCGTGAGCACCTCTGGGAAACAGACCAGGAGGGATTTCAGGCTGGTGTCTCAGTAGCTCTCACACAAAAAGCCATTAGTGACACAGGTGAAGAAATGCCTCGACAGAAAATTTTGCAGCTTTCATTTTATATATAACTCACTGAAAATGTAATTTCTTCACCTTATCTTTCTTGCAAATATTAAATTACTTTTGAAATCTCCCTCAGCCCATTAAGCCTGTTGTGCACAGGGCTGTTTGTGAATTTACCATCCTCCTCCTCCTCCCCACTCTGATCAAAGGGATGGAGAAACTGAATCAAAGTGGCCTCTGGGGCAGCCAGTGACTGCGCTGTGCCAGGTGAATCAGAGGGCATTGCAGAGAGTGAATTATCAATGAATAACCACAAAACAAGTCCCTGGCTCATGCAATTTCAAGATGACAACAGCTTAAACCAGCACCTAAACCAGTAAATCAGGGGAACGTCAGCTCCTCTGCCTATTTCAGAGGGTGCTGAATCAGGTGCCAGTGATATTTTAAATGTCAACACTGGCTGTTATTTCACTCGCTTACCAAACTGTGTGAGAATAGAGAGAGAAAAAAAGACTTTAAGTTGTTTTTCATGCGGAATGCAACTAACTGGGTGTACTGGTTACCAGTGGCAGAATCACCCAGGCCCTAAGGCTGCCCCACTCTCAGCCAGGGAGCAGAAAGGGCTCTGGTGTGTTTTTGGGATGCTCAAGCCATCGGGAACCATCCTCCTGGTGAGTCACCCCAAGAGAGCAGCTTCCCTGCTGGGAGCCAGAGGTTTGGGGAGGACAGACCTTGTGTCTGAAATGACGGTGCTGGGCTGGTAATAGCAGACTCCTGCAGCTGTGCAGATGCACAGAGATCAACCTATCATTTTCCCCTCCGTAATTAATTATAGGATGCAATTGATGCAGATCTAATAACAATGCTCCCAGCTGCGCCAGATCTTTGAAACTGCTGCAGATAGATGAAAATACAGAAAAGATCAAGGGACGGTGAATTTGAAGAGAGGCATTTTGAAATGCAAGGAAGACAATGTCTCTCTCTTAGAAAGAACTACCTGTGCTCTGAAAAGATACAGTACACAGGACAGTGTATTTACATGTCCTCTTAATTAAACTAGAATTATGCAAGAATGAAATGGAAACATAGAATGATTTGCCCTGTAAAAAGCTGTATCCTAAACCAGGGGGGATAATAAAAAAGCTTAGTGTAACCTGGGTAGAAATTAACGATGCCTTGCGGGAAGTGGGGGGAACATTTAAATGGAGCCTTCTGAATATTTCGGTGCCCTTAGTTCAGAGGAGTAAGATAGGGATTAAGAACAACTACCATCCCCAGGCCTACTGTTAAAAATAAAATAAAATAAAATAAAGCCAAAAAAGCCAAACACTAAATTTGTTTTCTAGTCGTTCCAGTCTCAACATGAAATCAGATGATGGGCTGAGACCGAACTGCAAAACTGCCCAGATCACCACAGCCATCATCAGCATCCCCACGCCGCCCGCGCTCACGCCCGAGGGCGAGGGTCACCCTCCCCCCAGCAGCCCCAGCCACTCCACGAACATTCCCACCACGGCCACCACCAACATCGTCAAGGTCTCTGCCTTGTAAGACGTCTCACGCACGGAAGGAGGCTGGAAGACCAGTGCCCCTCTCCCTCCACACCTCCATCTTCCTTTCTTGCTGCAAATTGTGCCTGGGATGGACCACAACCTGACGTTTTGTCACCGAATTAGCAATGGAGACCTAACGAGGCAGCTTTCTTCAGACTGTGGCCTGAGGAAGGATTAGGAGATGGAGGAAGAGGCTGGTTAAAGGGAAAACCTGCTTTGGAGAGCGCGTCGTGCCATGGTACAGGGCAAAAAACAAAAATCACCCGCGGAGGCTGGAGGGAAAGAATCATCATGGCAACAGGAGAGTCAATAAAGAAAATGGAAATATAACACTGTGTATCGCAGCACCTTTTTAAAGGTTTTTAATGGATAATATTTATTCATGAGGAAATGACTGAAAAGGTGAAAAACAATGGATTTTGTGAATTTTTTTTTTTCTTCATGGAGCAGAACCTTGAAACCAACCAAAATTTCACTTTTTTTTTTTTTTCTTTTATAGGAAAAGATTTAGACAAAGAAGCCACCTGTCACAGAAATCTCTTTTCCATTCCCCTGTGTGTGTGTACGTGCGAGTGTGCGGCAGAGCCCCATCCGAGCACCCCTGAATTGCAAAGAGCAGAGCACGTGTCCGTGGTTGGGTGCACAGTAGGGAAACCCCAAGCATGTGGCAGCACACACACGTGTGCACACGTGCGCGCACACACACACACACACACCTGTTTCACCCTGGATGGCATTCTTTATTTAGACGATTTTGTATCAGCCTTTTAAGTCAATACAGTGCAATTGCAAACGGCGTGTTTGTCTGCTAATTATTGTCTGTGAAAACATATTTGTGAACAAAAAAAAAGACAAAAAAAAAAAAAAGAGACAGGCTTTAGTAGAGTTTTAGTCCCACATGGGTATCTGCTTTCTATTTTTGTTATCACTTACTTGTAAGAGTGTGACTAGACTACCAGTTCTGTATTTTTAAAAAGAAAAAAAAAAAAAAGGTAGGATTCTTTTTTAATACTATACACACAAATGGCAAAGAATGAGAAAGCACTGAACTCAACTGCATCAAGCGTTCATAAGTCTAACAGAGGTTTCTTGTAATGTATGCCCATGCTTTTTTATTTTTTGTTTTCTATCTATAAATTTCTTTGCTAGCACTGGACATACAACCCATTGTAAATAGTAGCCAAATAATGTCTGGATCTATACTTGACAATAACTAACCCCAGAGCCAAATACTTTGGGTGGACAGAGAGGTATTTGGCTTTTTCACAGTCTTAGGGCTCCAATTGTCTCATCTGGGGCACACTGAATTTGGGGGTAGACTGGGTTAGCAATTTTAGTTCTCCAGCCCCAGCACAGGATCTACAGCAGGAATCCAGTTGAGAAGGGGGAGCAGTACTGGAGTGTGGAAAACATTTGCTAAAGTGTGGTACGGATAGCATTGTCTTTTTGCAGTTCTACACTTAATTTGGGAAAAGTAACACAATTCTAGTCAACCAAAAACTGAATTAACACTGTGTGGTACTGCCAAGAAGCTCATACTTGTAACTAAGCTGGGGTCAGTCCTAGCACCTCTTCCTGAGATCTTTCTAGGAATGATTTATTCTAAGGAAATACATGGTCCTGAAACATAACCCATTTCCCCCCCCCTAAGCAGAGTAACTTTTTTCTTCCGTTCTGCCTTTCTCAAGCCCCCTTGAGACAGGCGTGATCCACGAAGGGCAGAGTGAGGAACATCACCCACCTTTTCACCGGTCATACACCCTTTGGCTAACTATTGTGGTCGTGCAGAAACACCCCTCCAAGGCCCCGTAGACACCCAGGGGTGACGATGCACCCAGCCCCTGACAGCTTGTAGAAAATAAGGAAACATTTCCACGTCCTGTTTCTGAACAGTGATTTTACCACCATTAGAGTTGCAAGAGCATGTTCGAGGCTGATTCCGCAAAGGGATGACTTTTTTTTTTTACATCCGTCATAATCTTTCCTGATGTAATATTTATATACACATATACACATACACATATAAATAAATACAGACATATACATGTATAGATAGAGAAATAGACCTACATGCTGACTTAAACATACGAGCTAGCGACCCGCTGTGTTAGCGCTCCTGTTAGGCTGTAAGTGGACTCAGAGGCTGATGCATTAACTCAATACCCTCCTTAGGAACCTACAACATTCTAGAAATATTAGGGCTGTGGCTAAGCCTTCAGTAGCTGCACCAGCTTCTAGTCATTTATTCCAGTGCTCTGATACGTTACTCAGAACTATGTTTAGTCCTGTTTTAAATGATTAAAACGCTCTGCCTTTGCTGCTTCCGGTAGGAGGTTATACTGCAGTTAATCTTACCATTATTGAGTTTTTTCTTGATGTTTTAATTTAATCTTTCCTTCACTTTAATCTCATTATTTGTCATCATCTGCTCCCCATCACCCCTTGTAGATCAGAGGCCTTGCTCTCCACCACTTATACCACCCTGCACCCTCGTTTACCCCCAGCACAGGAGGAGGGTTAAATGCTGACAGGGTACAGTGTTCCTTCCCTCACAGGAGGAAACACTCAGAGCCAGGGAATCCACACGGATTTTCGGTGCTGCCTTTCTTATTCCTGAATTACCAGGGAGTGGTAAACAAGCCACTCCACCTCCCTGCCCCCATTTCTTTATCTGTAAATAGCAATCACGGCAGCCCTTCTCTGAAGCACTATTGGGGCATTTAATTGCTATCAATCAAAATGCTTTTTGAAAAAAAAAAATAATATTTTTTAAGAGGAAAAAAAAAAAAAAAATTAAGGAAGAAAGCCAGTCCCTGGGGTTTCTGGCTGCCTGCTCGGGCTCAGCTCCTCAAGACAGCCACAGCCTTTGTTCTCTTCCAGGCAAGAGGAACCACTGTTATCCCTGCTCACAACCAGGAGGCTTGTCTCTGCTACCATGAACTGAGCAGGTGCTGCCCCACGCAGTCAGTACATCAGCTCAGGCTTCCAGAGGATAAAGACAGACAAAACTGAGGAAGTCTGAGCCTAGAGGAACAGGGCTAAAAATATTTTTAATGGAAGCATTAGCTCCCTTTATACACTGATTTGAAGCAGACTGAGTAATGCTTCCTAAAGCACTTGAAAATACTCTTGTACCAAACCTCCCTGGATTGCCCAACACAGCTACATCCTCCTGATGAGTGCACTGTGCAGTTACCAAAACAGAATCTGTTGCCATCCTATCAGTGGCTGGTGGGACACAACATAATCCTTCAAACAAAACACGGGGGAGAAGGGAAAGCATTTGCACAGAAAAGCACTGGAACTGCACTACAGCCACTTGTTCCTACAGTAAAGGGAGGCAATTAGCTTTACTAAACTGCAAGGCTCTTTCTAATCTTTAAATAGCAACTTCTAAACCATTGCTGAGATAAGGCCAAGTCAATCCTGAAAATTCCTGGGCTTTAACTGAAGGATTCAGACCATTCTCCCCAGCGGTCCCCAGTGTTACCAGCATCCCTCTCCCCAGGGCCACACACATCCATGGACACGGACACAGAAACCAGCACGTACCCCCACAATCCTGGTCATTCCTGGTGCACGTGGAAGGGGCTTCCTCGGGTGGGGGCTCCCTCCAGGAGGAGAAGCATCCAGAACCAGAGGCAGGTTCTAGTCCTGACACTTCTCTGAAAGGCAGGTGGGACAAAAACAGCCTGATTAGCAAAAGGTCAGCAGCATGTGGGCAGTTCATCTCAAAAGCCTTCCCCTTCCCCCTAATTCCTTGTGACTTTTTATAGTTTTAGATAAGTTCATTAAAAAAAAAAAAGATGAAAACAGATTGTTTGTACAAAAAGCAAGTGGAAGGGGATTATTTTTTCAGCCTTTCATAAAGCAATATTAAAAATATCAAAGGAGCAACACTTTTTTCTGAGCGTTTTGTTTCCTTTCCAAAGCCTTTACTGAGGGGAAAATATTTTCACAGATTTTCAGCATATTCTATTAATAGATTTGCTCTCTTCTCACCTGGCATTGGGCTGCTAATAGAAGGAATCACACCTAATTGGCAAAGACTGATGAGAAATACCTTTCACACCTAAGCCTTGACTTCTAGCTACTCTTTCTAAAATCCACCTTTTACTTTCCTTTTCCTTAAAAATCTTAAAGGCACCCATAAAGAAGAGGCCACAGATAACACATCTTGCAACATAAAAATTAAAGAATTAAAAAATTTAATCCATCCTCAGCTAGCACAAGTTCCTTCACTTTCTCTGGATTAGAATTAGAATTCTCCAAGGGAAGGGCTCCTTCCAGACGAATAGATCCCAACGTCAGGGATTTTTCCCCTGCTGTTCAGCCAGAATTCTGTCCTTATTTTTTCCTCTCTTGCTGCCATTATGCTCCTTCACACCATGTTAAATTATTCTTCTTCCCACGTTGTAAGTTTGCTGCCTTCCAGCATCAGAGGAATAGAAAACTTTCTACAGCAAATTCTTGGCCCAGAGACTACTTTTGTCTGTCAAATAATTATCACTGGTAAAGGTCAACTGAGGAAAAAGTAAACTAAGTAGCATACGTGGCTTTAGTGTTGAATAAAGTTAATAGGTAATTCAAAATACATCCTTCTCTACAGTGGGCCAGAAATACTAAATTTGAGTCAATGCCGACCGTTGATAATATACTTCTACTGCAAATGAGCATTTATCATTCCAGGTTAGACAGCAGAAGGTATGCACGTGAAAATCAGATTAATAGCAGCTACAGAAAGCAATCTTTCTTCAAACGTTTTGCTTTTTTAAGTAAAGAGGTTGTAAACATGTTGTATCTTACGTGTATTATAAAGCTAATTCAGTAAATTAAAAACCACATTTAATTTATGGGTTGCAACATCCCTTGGATCCTGTAATAGTTTCCCTGTGTTGGACTGTGGCAGTTACAAAGTCAGCACTCACGGACAGCTTGTGAACATCAGCAGCTTTCGACTGAAAACTTTATTCTGCTTTGTAAATTAGGCGAATAATATACCTTTTCCACGTAATTTACCAATCAAATACATCTTGGTTTTTTTGAAATCACTTATTTTTCTCTAACACTTTAAGCCACTGCACTAGATAACGTGAGTTCAGAGCTCAAGTTTTTAGGCTTCACATCTAACAATGCCACAAACACTCTTGGTAATGGTTTTATCTCTCTAGAACTGGAAGAGCAGAGAGAAGGCAGGGCACACCCCGTTAGAGCCGGGAGGCTTAGCCTCAGGAACCTGTGTTCTACTCCTGATTGTCTTGATGAATCACTAAGTGACCTCAAAGAAGTCATTTCACCTCTCTTTGCCAATTAGACGAGCCGTGCAGGGTTTAACACCTCCTCTTTCAATCAGTGAAGCTCAATTCCTGAACACCTACAAACCACCCCAGAGAACTCTTGAGAAAAGCGTTACGGGAGAACTGCTACTTACACTCCAACCGCAAAAAAAACACTTCAGGTGGAACAGTCAAAAAGACCAGGTGACAAAGAGCTTGTGAAAATTCCTTCCTGAGTTTTGTTCTCAGTCGATGACCTGTTAGTTTGTGTGTATCCGTGTGCACGTGTTCCTTTTCACTCTGGTTTCAGTAGTCCCAGTCCCAGCAGTCCCACAGCTGGCTGGGCCAGAAGTTCCCCACCCCGTGGAATGCTCTTCTCCCTTCTGTTGCAACCACGACCGGGAGCTCCCGCTGGCTCCTCAGACCAATGAAAGCATCTTAGGAAACGCGTGTGATGGTATATTTTTGATAAATCAGTAAGGCATTCCGATGCAATGGTGTTTTCTTTAGAAGTTTTATGTTATAAGAAGCTCTCAACCTTATTATTTTCTATTTTCGTACTATAAATGGGCTTTGCTTACGAACATCAGAGGACAGATACAAACTGTACTGTATACAACTGCAGGTAGCTTCATTTGAGAACAACTTTCTAGAAGAACCAAGTTTCCTGTTGTCTTCTTTTGGAATTGTAGTGCATATGTTGAAACTTGTATATCATTTACAGTATTGAGTCTTGTGCCACTGCTGTACCTGATGTATCCAATCTGGATTAAACAGAGTATGTGCCACAAATACCAAGATGATGCTGTAGATTTCTTCTAAAAACATTCTGGGAGGTTCTTTTGGAGAACTTTGGGTGTTTGCTTAAGCCACTTGAGTTGCATTTAAATACTAATAACTTTTACTTAAGCAACCATTAACAAGAGCAGCAAGATGACCAAGATGTTCCAGGAGAGCAATAGCACAGATACCCAAGCACATCTCTTCAGGTACTCTCCTTTTGAATGAGTCACAAGAAAATTCATCTTGGAAACAAAATCATATCGTCTTGGCCTTTTCAAACTATGCAGAGAAAATCTAGGAGAACCCCCCTCCCTGGGGTGATTTGTTGTGACACAAAGGGAGCAAGGCAGGAAATAAAAAACACCCCAGAGAAAAGAAGAAGAAAACCACTTCTAAGAAGGTATTTATTATATTAAAGAGCACATCTTAAGCCTTTCTTTTAAAAGGCACTCTCATCTTGGCAATTCCATTTAGGCTGAACTCTGGTATTCTGTATTGCAGACAGGGTCAGCTTGTTTCAACCACCAAACAAGTAGAGCTGACGGCATCTTAACCCTATCCCAAAGTGCCGCTTAGTGGCAGGATGTAAAACTTTCACAATTCTTTAAGCAGAAGTTGAAATTATTTAGGAGGTGACCTCTGACACCCACCGAGCTACTGCTGAAGAGCAGCACCCCCAGGACACTTTTCTCTCTCTCAGTAAGGGCTGACACCCACTAGAGGCCCCCATTGGCCCAGCTGCAGGGAAACACAGACTCAACCTCAGGAGGAACATCAACCCCCCAGTTCCCCTGCACACTGAGGGGTCCAGACCCCACGGTGGAAAGTTTAGACCCACCACTCCACAAGAAGGTCAGAAGCACCGCCTGGGAGACCGCAGGGTTAGCACAGGCAATTGTGCAGGAACATCGGGAATGCCCAGGCAGCAAGTGATTTATTTAGGTAAGCAGAGTGAAAACATGGCTGTATTTCTCAGAATGAATTTGGAAGTTGCTGAAGGTGAGCAGTCGAGCACCCCTGAGGGCTTCAGTTTCTCCAAATTAAAGCAGCAGCTCTCCTGGGAAGCACAGTTCATAGTAGGTAGGAAGCAATGCTTTTACTAAGGGAATTCCAGCCTTACTCTGCCCAAGGAAATAAAGAAAAAAAGACTGTATCTGCTCTGGTGAACTTTAAGATACCAAAGAAACTGGCTGAAGAAATCTGCCTCTGATCCCAACCACACTAAAGCTAGAGGATGAAGTTTCAAAATCAGTGCAGAGTCAGCCCAGGGTCGACACCCTGAGCCAGCCAACCCCCTCTTCTCCTGCCTCAGGACAGCTACACACAAAGCAGTGCCACCCAAACAGGAAACACTGATTAGTTTTAGTACTAATAGGTAATTTCATTTCTAATTAAAGCTTTCCTGTAAGTGTGGCAAGTCTGATATTGCTGCACCCAGAGGGACAGGCCAATTATGACTGCTGCACACTTTCGACATAATTAAGCCCTCCTCTCTGCACAGCTTGCCATACACCTAGCTATAGAAGTGTTATTTATACAATGTTAATTAACAGGATTTAAATTAGCAATGCAGGCATGGAGTTGCAGGTTTCACTGGTATATAATCAGTGCCTGGTGTTTAGCAGAATTACAGAAAACGGAACGATCCCCAACTGCAAAGAGACTTTAGTCCTGTGGTGACATCACCTTCAACCAAAAGTCGCACGAAGACATAAGCCAAGGAAGTAAAACTGGGGCTGGGTTGTATTTTCTCCTTACTGAGATTTCTTACGTGTAAGTGGCTGACTTTTATCTTCCTTCATTTACTTTGCATTGTAAAGATTGCAACCAAACATCCAGCTGTCTTTCATTTCCTTTTATTAACAACCACTTGTAACACCGTCACTGGAATGCATGGAAAAAACATCACCCCAGACACAGCTCACTCACGAAAAAGACAACATTTTCCTTCAGTCTTAACAATGTCTGTCCATGTTTGTCCATGTACTTGTAACTAGCAGGTTTTTTTCCACAGATAACGTCCATTTGTTGTACCAGCCAGCCTGTCCCAACAGCAGTGTCACTGCATCAGTCACCACTTTTCAGCAGCTCCTGAAGATAGACCGAGTTGACGCGGTAGGCGTTCAGCCAGTGGAAGTGTCTGTAGCTCCTGTAGTGAGCCACAGCCGCGTAGTAACCTTGCCACGCCTGGTAATAAGATTTCCAGTAGTTTTCATAACTCCAAGTCTCATATGGAACACCATCATCCCAAGAGCTGTAGGAGCAGTCGTCTTCAGTTTTTCTGGTGGAAGGACTAGGGTATCGATGGTTCTGGCTTTGCTTTTGTTTAGCGTTTTGTTTCGGAACTTTCTTTTTCACTTGATTTTGCTTTGGGACTTGCGATAGGTCCCGAGGCTTCTCTGGTGTAGAAGAGAAGCCACCATGACCCTGACGGGTTGTGGGAACAGCATTCTTCTCTGGTGTATCTGAAAGTACTTCACAGCACGAGTTGTTTTCCCTACTACTGGAGGAAGCCCTGGAACTGTAGGAACCATCACTGTCACCAGACACAACACCGTTTGCTACTGGCTCTCTGTCATGTCCCACCTCTTCCCACTCCACACCGCCATTTCTGGGGAGCTCACGCTGTTCTCCTGGGCCAGAATAGCTTCTTAAAATTTCAACCTCTCTCTCCAACCCTTCTTTGATGAAATACTCATAGTCCTCAACAAACTCCGCAAAGTCCCAGGGATTGCTCTGGTGGGTTTTGAAAGAAGACAAACATGGAATTCTGGGAAGATTTTTTTTTAAGGCCTCCTCATCTGGAGCCTGAGTATGATGTTGTCCGTCCATTTTGGAGACAGTTTTGACTTGATGTCTCTGTTCTATGTGGCAACCAGAAGTTTGGGGGCTTCTCTTACCTTTTTCTGCATTTGCAGACTTTGGGCACTTTTTTATCTGCTTTTGCTTCAGAGCCTTTTTTGGCCTTTCTAGAGGAGAATTCTCACCTGGGAGATTAGAATGAGGCCGAGGTACCTCTGAGAAAGTATTTTGGACAGGCTGCAGTATTGGTTCCTCTGGTCTAAGACACACAGTGTCAGAATTCATGGAAGCACCTGTATGTACAACAGGTTTGACTTCTACCTCCCCATCTTCAAACTGATCCATCAGTCCAGGGGGTATGGGCTCTGCACAAAAGGGAAACAAGCAGGCACTCAATTAAGTGCATCCCTCTCTCGAGAACTCAAATGAGTACTGAAGATAAAGCTTTGCAAAATCACAGAAGAGATGTTAAGACACATTAATTTAGGGCTGTAAACCGACCCCTTCAATTCTTCAAAGAGCTCAAATAGCCAGAGCATTTTCTTCATGGAAGGCATTGAAAATTTCATCAAGACAAACAGCACTGCATTACCCATCCCCTATTTTTCATATCCTACTTAAGCAGATTAAAAATTAGAACTTATGCAAGAGGGCAAATGCTCGATTTCTAGCAGAACAGCTTCTGGCAAAGCAAGGGTGGCAAGTGTTCTGTTGTTTCAATTATTTCTTCCTTCTTCTAATGGAACTTACACCCTGAGAAAGGCTTAATAACACATTTCTGGAAATCCAAGTGGTTACATAGTTGCTTAAGCAACAGCTGGATGCAGAGTTCCTCTCCCTATCCATAGGCATGCACTAAGGTCATCTTCTATTGCTTCACTCAACTGCACCAGGTACACAAGGAGTCATTAGCAGAGAGTATGAAAAACCTGTATCAAAATTCATGCAACTTCAGCACAGTCAGTTCCCTGTGCACTTGTCTGAAGCGTTGAATAAACAGAAAACAACCCACAAGAACCCAGTTGCATTCACAGGACAGAGCATACCTGGGAGCGGAAAAAGCTGAAGATTACATTTCTGAGCAATTTTCATCATTGTGTTTTCCTCCTCTCCGCGGCAGCAGTACGTCACAGACAGGCCTAAAGTTCCTACGACACACAGCAAAGTGTCATGACCTCAGGGGAGCCAGCGAGGCCTGTGTGAGCTCAGGGAATCCACCCAGCTCTTCTTACCAAAGCGCCCGGCTCTGCCGATACGATGCATGTACGTTTCCCAGTCCACAGGTACATCCAGGTTGACAACCAGATTCACTTTTTCAGCATCAATCCCACGAGATGTCTTAAGAAAATGAGGAGAGAACAGATAATTGAATATGCCAAACAGATCTTTAAATTGGGGAGGGACTCTTTGCCAGGAAGGGTAATGATAGGACAAGGGGAAACGGTTTTAAATTGGAAGAAAAAAGATTCAGATTAGATCTCAGGAAGAAATTCTTTACTCTGAGGGTGGTGACACACTGGAACAGGTTGCCCAGGGAAGTTGTGGCTGCCCCATCCCTGGAGGGGTTCAAGGCCAGGCTGGATGGGGCCTTGAGCAACCTGGTCTGGTGGGAGGTGTCCCTGCCCAGGGCAGGGGGTTGGAACTCGATGATCTTTGAGGTCCCTTCCAACCCAAACCATTCTGTGATTCTATGATAAATAAATACATTTGAGAATAACTGCTCATATAATAACTTTTAGTTGTTACAATATACCATAAAGCACTTACAATCTTCCAGTCAGCTTATAGTATTACATGTAAAATAAACATATTGCATTGGGACCAAGAAAACTACGGATCATTTTGCTTATGTCTTCTGTGTAGCACATATAAACAAGCACGATATTTTCCCCCAGCATCAAAACATTCAACTCCACAGCATGCAGTAATCTTTTCATGACAGGACCTCAAACCATCAACTAAAGAGAAAAATACAGCAGCCACGAAAGAGCTGAGCGTCTCAAACACAACCACTGCTCTACTTAAAGTTGTTTGGGATGTCACTGTTGTGAGCATACTGTTCTCACAAAAGAGCTAAGCACCTCAAACACAACCACTGCTCTACTTAAAGTTGTTTGGGATGTCACTGTTGTGAGCATACTGTTCTAGAGAAATAAACTACTCCTTGCCATTGCTCCTACCCAAAGGACACAATCCTACTGCTCTGAAATATCTATAAGCTTCAGCAGAGCAACAGAAAAATTCAAAACTATTTTTGAACCAGATGAGGAATAGGGGACAATTTTGAAGTTTCACAGTGACAGTAAATGGCACACAGCAGCCAAGTCCCGTGCTTTATCAGTGCATTTCTGTTCTATTCAATTCCAAGGCAAACCTAATTCTCTGCAGTAACTTTATGTCCAATACTCGTGGAAGCTACAGAACACAAACTCACCAAATCTGTGGAAATCAGAACTCTACAGTGGAATTGCTTTAATTTAGCCATAGCATCAAGCCGTTGATTTTGATTCATGCTGCCTAAAAAGACAAAAGTTATAAAAACAGATTATATTCTTCAGTTCCAAATAAGTAAACAAGAAGCAAACAAGACAAACCTGAAAATAACTAAATTCATTGCAACAATAATTCATTTGCTTGTTTACCAATTATGTACATGCTGAACAACACTGACTTTACAGATTTTATTTAAACACATGAACCATGGAAAACACTGGTGAAGTAAAAATTCAAAGGAAGGTTTCTAATAAATCCTAGGTGCCAGCTATCAGCTTTTAATAGAGAAGCTAGAAATAAAAAGATTTAAATTCAACATCTGTATTGCAAACAAACACTGATTCAACCTGCAAATGTGAGTCAGCTTTCTCTTTACAGGTAAGCCAATGCACTCAGCTGGATATTCATAAACACAACTCACAAACAAATTAACAGGAAAGTTAACTGGCAAAAATATTAGTTAATATTTAAGTCCTAAAGAGCTATGAAGATTCAAATGCTATTCTTGGTTCTTTAACCGGAGCCCGTGCAAGCCAAGACTTAAGATTAATTTTCTTATTTTTGGTCACATTTATGCACAATTTCAACAAAATCAGGAAGTTTTGAATGGACTTACCCGAAATGCACTCTGCAGGAAAGCCTCTGCTCGTCAGTATTTCAGCCAGATGTTCAGCCCTGACAGAACATACACAACGAAAACTGTAAATTAAACCAGAGACCTAACAGCCCCTACACATTTTTTATCAACAAGTTACTCTTTACAGCCCAGGATTACATTCAAAATTGTCACTTTCACCTTTATGTCTAGGACAGTCACAGCACAGATGGAAAAGGTATTGGCTGTATTTCTGATCTGAAAATTGCATATTGTTTGAGACCCTACAGAAGGGCTACAGAAGTTTATCCATGATGGGACATCACAACCACTGCTTTCAAACATGCTTTTTACAGATTTGATTTCAAAGTTATTACCTGCTATGCAAATTTGAGAAGACTAAGGCTTGATTAAATGGAATCTTGCTGAACAACTCCTGTAGGTGCTGGGTTTTTTCCTCAAATGTTTTATGTGGAAGCGGATGGGAATTCACAATCTTGTAATACTGCTTCAGCCCTGGGCATGAAACCAAAATATTTTCAGATTAAAGATTTCTGTAAAAACACATGCAGTGCTGTGCTGCTGTCAACATGTGCCACTGCAGCTCAAAGACTTCAAATTTAAACAAGCAGACACATGTACCAAATAAGAACCTACAAGAGAGGTTTTCCTTAAAAAGGCTGAAATATTTTTTGAACAGATAAAAAAAAATAGAAAGTTACATTCATCACTGATGTTTTTAATACATCAACACTTGTAATAAATACTTCATAAACTAATCAACCCGCCTATAGAGGGAAATGATGAAAAATCACTAATTATAAAAATACATGTTTTGATTCTAGTATATACTTCGTAACCTATTGATAACAATATCACCATAAATGAATTTCTACTTACCAATGAGACTTGGATCAGTAGGGTTCAACCTCACAAATGTTGGCTCTCTCATGTACCTGGTCAGGGCATTAGCTAATGATTCAGGATAAGTAGCTGAAACAGCAAGCATCTGTTTATTGGCTGGTAGTGAAGAGTAAATCCAACTGTGAAACAAAGAAACGGGAATGACTGAAAAATATGCATCTAATTTATTGATAAATGCATAAAATAAGTGTTTTTCTTACTTGATTTGTTCCTGAAAGCTGCCTTCTTCTAGCAGCTTGTCTGCTTCATCAAGAATGAAAAGCCGGATACTGGCTGTATTCAAGTAGTCCAACTCTATGAGCTGTTTTATCCGACCTAAATACAAAGAAAAAAGTAAAAGGAACTTCAAAAATATTAATTGAAACGGTCTAATAATGAACTTCCTAACTTTTTATAAAAATAATTGTATCAAACCCTAAAAAAAAGGCATATTTGGAATAATGCCTCACTAAAAATACCTGGTTTAAATGTCTCTGGCACTGGCCTTTGAGACTATCCCCTATTATGAAAAAAACCCCAACCAAGTCAACCCAGATTTCAAAGGCACCAATTATTGGACTGTGAAGTGTCACCCAGTATCTGAAGCACAATGAAGCTCATGCACACCTGGGGAGCCAACTGCGATGTGGCACTTCTTGAGTCTGATTTTGTCCTGGTTCAAAGGAGTCCCGCCAATGAAAACGTGGCATTCCAAGCCTTCCATTTTGATGCCAATAGTTGTGATGACAGCATGAATCTGCACAGCAATCTCCCGGGTAGGGGCCAGGATCAGGATCTGCAAAGGCCAAGGATTACATTCGAAAGCAGCAGAATGATTCTGAAGATTAAAGCCCAGCATCGAGTTGTAAAGACTTCAAATACTACATCTCACTAGCGACAATGCCGTTTTCCCTGGAAAAAGAGGGAGTTCCTCTCACAAAGCCTTTCCCCCTCTCTCCCCACACAGGTAATGGCGGGCCGGGCCAGGGGCTCACCTGGGTGGCAGAGCTCTCCAGCAGCACCGCGTCCAGGGCGATGGTGGAAAACACGCAGGTTTTGCCAGTGCCAGACTTGGCCTGCACGATGAGATCTGGAAAGAGCCGCCACAGCGGTCATCACCGGAGGCCCCCAGGATGCCCCCAAGCCCCGCTCCCGGCCCCCTCGCCCGGCCCGCCGCCTCACCCAGGCCGCAGCGCCCCAGCGGGATGGCCTTCAGCTGGACGGGGGACGGCCTGTGGAACCCAGCCGCCTCCAGCCCCGCCAGCACCGGCGCCGACAGCAGCAGCGACCCGAAGTCGGAGGGGCCGCCGGGCACCAGCACATCGCGCGTGCGGAACCGTCCCTCAGCCGTGGGCGCCGCCATCTTGGGGGCAGGGAGGGGCGGCGGGCGGCCTCTCGCGAGACGCGCCTCTCGCGCCGCGCACGCGCACTAGGCGAATCCCGCC